CCCTTTCCTCTATCCTTCCTCCTCCCCCCCCCCCTAAATATTATAGAAATCCATACTTTGGATTTATAACCTTGTTTTGGCAACAATTTTAATTCGAATTTAATTCTCCATAGAAATATTTGCGTTTATAGCCCATTAGCCTCGTAGAACTATTTGTTTGCAGAAGATGATAATCTCCCACATACATAAATATAAAAGAATTATGATTTCAAAAATGTAGAGTTATTTAAAAATAAGTTCTTGTAACAAACTCTAATTTTTAAATCCCTATATCTTTGCAACCCGATGTCGTAGACCTTGCTATTTCAAACTATTAATTCTGTTAGATAAATATAGTCCAAGTTTGAAATTTTAGAGATTTACTTCATCAGGTTGGACATATGTAAGTTTCTTTGGATAATGTATTTCTTGGTTTCTTTAGGTTTGATTGGAACCTTATTCAAAGTTTATGATGTTCATGATATGATCAAGATATTCAAGAATGACAATAACCCAGCAGTTTCAAGACACTAAATCTTTTAAATAACATTAATGTTAGAAGACAAAGTTAGAAATTAATGTATAATATAAGAATGAATATAAGAATCCACTAAACTCGCAACACAAAAAGTTAATCAAACATTTTTAGTATCCAGAAAGCGTATTTAAATTCAAATCTTTTCTATAGCGTAGAATTCTAAAAAATATACATTTCGTTTAATACTAGCAGCAAGCAGGAATCTGGAATATGATATAAAACTTAAAGGGAGTGTTAAAATTAAAATAATAATTCGAGAAAATTCTATTTCTTCTGAAGAGCTGATATATATCTTTGATTGAACTGCCAATTGTTCAAACATCATCAAGATACGAAATTATTTGACTTTTTATTTTTTTTTTATGACAGAATTCCTAATTCCTTAATAACCTTGGAATACATGTTATTTGTATATAATTATACTGATGAATTGACAATTATTGTTTTCTGTATACTCTGATCGAGAGTAGAGTGTGTGTAGGGTTGGGCACGTTCCAACTTTTTCTAGCCGCTTCCTTAACGGTTAGTTCCAACCAACAAAAAATAAAAATTTCAGTTAGCCGTTAATTTTAAAGGTAAGAATGAAACTTTTATTTCCGTTAAAGGCATTTCTCTTTTTTTAATTGCTGTTAGTTAACGATCTCAATTTTATTAACCGCGTTAATGGAAAATGTAACAAACGTAACGACTCTAGCTGTTAATGGTACCTTTATTACAAAATAAACAGCCTTAACAGCGCAAAGCGCCGAAAAAATTTCGTTAAGGGTTAAAAAATCGTTAAAAGCACAGCTGTTAACGGTATATTACAGTATTAATGGCGTTATGGTGAAAAAACTTTGTTAACGGTTTAGAAAAACAAAAGATGACATTTAAAAACATTAAAATGCGTGAAATTTTTAAATTTGTAAAAAAAAATTCTTGCAATTATAATCAGAAAATGACTAACATTAACATTTTTAACTTTTTAGTTAACGTTTGTAACCGTTCATTTTTTAAAACAGCTAATCCGTTTCGTTAACGATTGAAAGATTAACGGTTTTTGCCGTTCGTGAACGTACTCTTCCGTTTATTTTAGAAAACGTCATTTTCGTTAACGGAACTATGCCCAGCCCTAAGTGTTTGTAAGGCGTTGATGATGATATCATTGAAAAATATTTCTCACATTGTAAACCATATAATATCCGGTACCACCCTTTCCATTATTCCCTCTTTCTTCATACATCTCCTTCCCTAATTTACCTTCTTCCTTCTTTGTTTTACCTTCTTCATTCCATGTTTTATCTCCTAACCTCTCTATTTTACCTTCTTCCTTCCCTGTTTTACCTTCTTTCTTTCCTGTTTTACCTCCCTTCTTCTCTGTTTTACATTCTTCCTTTCCTGTTTCATCTTATTACCGCTCTGTTTTATCTTCTTCTTCCTCTGTTCCTTTTCTTCCTTCCCTGTTTTTCATTATTCCTTCCCTGTTTTACCTTCTTCGTTCTCAAGTTCTCTGTTTTATCTTCTTACTTCTCTGTTGTATCTTCTTCCTTTTTTGCTTTACCTTATTCCTTCTTAAATCTAAATTTTCCTTCTCCATTTTACCTTCTGCTTTCATCCATTGCATTTTCCTAGGAAACGGAATGTAAAATGTAGCGAGGGTGAAACAGAATGTAAAATCTAGCGAAGTTGGTACAAAATGTAAATGTAATGAGGGTGGAACAAAATGTTAAGATCGCAAGGAGGAACGAAATGTAAATATTGCGAGTGTGTGGAACGGACTTAAAAATGTAGCGAGGGTGGAATGGACTAACAAATGTAACGAGGGTGGAACGGACTAAAAAATGTAGCGAGGGTGGAACGGACTAACAAATGTAACGAGGGTGGAACGAAATATAAAATGTAGCGAGGTTGGAACGAAATATAAAATGTAGCGAGAGTGAAACGAAATATAAAATGTAGCTTGGGGGGAACGAAATATAAAATGTAGCGAGAGTGGATCGAAATATAAAATGTAGTGGGAGTGGACCGAAATATAAAATGTAGTGAGAGTGGAACGAAATATAAAATTAGCGAGAGCGGAACGAAATATAAAATTTAGTGAGAGTGGAACGAAATATAAAATTAGCGAGAGCGGAACGAAATATAAAATGTAGTGAGAGTGGAACAAAATATAAAATGTAGTGAGATTGGACCGAAATATAAAATGTAGCGAGAGTATAACAAAATATAAAATGTAGTGAGAGTGGAACGAAATATAAAATTAGCGAGAGCGGAACGAAATATAAAATGTAGTGAGAGTGGAACAAAATATAAAATGTAGTGAGAGTGGATCGAAATATAAAATGTAGCGTGAGTGGAACAAAATGTAAAATGTAGTGAGAGTGGTTTGAAATATAAAATGTAGCGTGAGTGGAACAAAATATAAAATGTAGCGTGAGTGGATTGAAATATAAAATGTAGCGTGAGTGGATCGAAATATAAAATGTAGTGAGGGTGGATCGAAATATAAAATGTAATGAGAGTGGAACAAAATATAAAATGTAGTGAGAGTGGACCGAAATATAAAATGTAGTGAGAGTGGAAAGAAATATAAAATGTAGTGAGAGTGGACCGAAATATAAAATGTAGTGAGAGTGGAACGAAATATAAAATTAGTGAGAGCGGAAAAAAATATAAAATGTAGTGAGAGTGGAACGAAATATAAAATGTAGCTGAGTGGAACGAAATATAAAATGTAGCGAGGGTGGAACGAAATATAAAATGTAGTGAGAGCGGAAAGAAATATAAAATGTAGTGAGAGTGGAACAGAATATAAAATGTAGCGAGGGTGGAACAAAATATAAAATGTAGCGAGGGTGGAACGAAATATAAAATGTAGCGAATATGAAACGAAATATAAAATGTAGTGAGAATGGAACAAAATATACAATGTAGTGAGAGTGGAACGAAATATAAAATGTAGCGAGGGTGGAACGAAATATAAAATGTAGTGAGAGTGGAACGAAATATAAAATGTAGCGAGGGTGGAACGAAATATAAAATGTAGTGAGAGTGGGACGAAATATAAAATGTAGCGAGGATGGAAATAAATATAAAATGTAGTGAGAGTGGAACGAATCAAAATATGTTTAAAGAACTGTAGAGTGTGGAAGTCAGTGGACCTCCATTTGTAAAGTGGCATGTCCAATTCTTAAGGGTACCCTATAAAGCTTTGTCTGATAAAGAAAATTTCCATTTGTGATTCTTTAATTATTTTCAATTTTGGTTTATTTGCAAAAATTACTTGCGTATCTCTACTTCAGATTTAATGACAGGAAATTATCAGAATTAAACTAAAAATTACGACGTATCTTCCAATTTATTGACCGGATAACGGGTTAAACGATGCCGCTGTGATTCGGACATGCTCCTTCGTAAATGGAAGGTCACTTGAAATTACAAGAAAAATCACTTTAGCAACAAGTCGGAAGCTGCTCACCTTTCTCTGCCAGGAACTCCAACCTTTCTAAATCTAATTTTTGTAAAACTTTTCAAGTTAAATTTTTTGATTAAAGACTGATTGTACGGGAGACCGACTGAAAACAGTTTCGGCTAGTTCCGTCTCCCTGCCATAAACTGTAATTTCAACTAATGTTAATTATGAATATCCATTTTTACATGTATAGTTTGTGGCTAAATATATAATTTGATTTGATTTGATTTGATGAAAAAAGTTTATGTTACAGGCTTAAGAATATTATCTTTAACCATACAACGCAACTTTTCTGAAAAGACGCAAAGGAAAATATTTATATATAACAAAACAAATAAATACAGAGAAAAGGTATGATTAAAAAAAAGAATTAACTGTGTAAACTACTTCATGTGACAATCAATATATGTATAAAGAAAAGGAAGATGGGTAGAATAGGAGTGGGGGAGGGGGAGGGGTGGTGAAACCAAGGGGGCACAACCATGAAATACGTCAAGGCAATTTATGCAGGGATAATTATTCCTTCCTTCATTATTTATATTTGTAATAATGCATAAAATTGAAATGCAGAAGATTTTAAAAAAGTGTATATCTAAAAGTGTTTTGACCCCTGTATTATTTATAACTTATCTTAAAATCTATTCTTTCCGAAATAGAAGGAACTTAGTATGAATAGAACTTCTTTATGAAAAACATGGAACTCTGAACAATTAATAAGATCTAAAGTTTTCACGTTTAATTATGAAAGCTGACTTGTTTAACATGCGGCTTCTTTTCATTTTTCTAACAGTGTACAGCGATGCAGTGCTGTACTGTACTGCATTCTTTCTTCCTTTTCAGGTACATGATTTGGTACATTCTCGGGAAAAAAACAGAGGAAACGAACCTAAACACTTGTGTTGGGACATTTCATCTATATACAAATTTAGCTTGTCCGTCTGTTTATTTGTATCCAATAAACGTCAAAACGGCTGAACCGATCGGGCCCAAATTTTTTGTAAGACCTCATGTGACCCCAGGGAAGGTTTATGAATGATCAAAATTTTTAAAATTTGTGCTTAAACGTTTTTATTTTTGTAAAATTTTGAAAATGCGCCAAAAAATATTATGAAATCCGCAAACTTTTGTTTTTGTTTAATACTGTACAAAGAGAAGATGCTCACAGATAAAGCCACAATCAAAAGTTGAAAAAGAAGATGGGCGCGAAGCGCCCTAAAAGCCTAGTAAAAATACATTTAATAAATAAGACATTTTATAGATAGGACATTTGATATATAGGACATTTCATATAAGACATTTCATAGAAAGGACATTTCATAGAGAGAGATTATGTTTCATAGATAAGGTATTGTTTTTCTTTTTCCAAGTAATCTTTTCTAATAAAACATAACCTGTTCATTTTACGATTTCTTACATTTTTTACTTCACCTGTTATTCATATTTTCGCTTCAAACATATTATTCATATTTTCGCTTCAAACCTATTATTCATATTTTTGCTTCAAACCTATTATTCATATTTTCGCTTCAAACCTATTATTCATATTTTCGCTTCAAACCTATTAATATTTTCGCTTCAAACCTATTATTCATATTTTCGCTTCAAACTGATATCAAATTATCTTGCGTGTTCAAAAATAAATGTATCTCAACTGATTACATTTTCTAAAATTTTGACACACTTTTTATTGACCAAAACCTTAAATTGTCTTCGAAAAAAATGCTTTTCTGTCTATGAAATTTGAAATTACTTTTCTATGAATATTCTTCCTTGTCCATAACAAATCTGCTCTGTCTATGACATGTAGTATCTATAAAAAGTCCTATCTATGAAATGTCCTATCTAAGCTTTTGTTTTCTATGAAATTTCAATCTATGAAATGGCAATCTATGAAATGTCAATCTATGAAATGCCAATCTATGAAATGTCAATCTATGAATTGCCAATCTATGAAATGTCAATCTATGAAATGCCAATCTATGAAATGTCAATCTATGAATTGTCAATCTATGAAATGTCAATCTATGAAATATCAATCTATGAAATGTCAATCTATGAAATGTCAATCTATGAAATGTCAATCTATGAAATGTCAATCTATGAAATGTCAATCTATGAAATGCCAATCTATGAAATGTCAATCTATGAAATGCCAATCTATGAAATGTCAATCTATGAATTGTCAATCTATGAAATGTCAATCTATGAAATGTCAATCTATGAAATGTCAATCTATGAAATGTCTTTCTATGAAATGTTCCAACACCGAATTTTTAAGATCTTTAGAAAGGTTGGAAAGAGTTATTAAAGAGAGGTATTTTAAATTCATAAAATGCATATATTAACAGATAAGAAAAGAAAAGTTATTAAGCAGAGGGGTTAAAATTTAAAAACTAACAAAGTATTAAATATATTTTATTTTGAAACCAAAGTTTTTAAAGGGGTTTAAGTTGGTTTTATGAGTTAAATAAATAGAACCCCTGAAGAGTGACTAATTATCTTTATCATGTTCATCATATTCGTCGCAAAACAACTAACCATGCAGAGAAGTAATTTTATTTCTAGAGAGGAGGGAGGGCGTTTCCTTCATTACTTTTATTTCTAGAGAGGAGGGGAGGGGGTTTCCTTCATTACTTTTATTCCTGTAGAGGAGGGGAGGGGTTTCCTTCATTACTTTTATTCCTAGAGAGGAGGGGAGGGGTTTCCTTCATTACTTTTATTCCTAGAGAGGAGGGGAGGGGTTTCCTTCATTACTTTTATTCCTAGAGAGGAGGGGAGGGGGTTTCCTTCATTACTTGTATTCTCGTTATTACTAATAAATCAAGATTGCTTATTTTCAGTTTCAATCATTTTTACATATTTGATTAATTTTACATTATTTATAATTTTTACATAATTTATCTTTTTTACATGATTAATCATTTTTACATATTCAATTAATTTTACATTATTAATAATCTTTACATAATTAATCTTTTTTACATGATTAATCATTTTTACATATTTAATTAATTTTACATTATTTATAATTTTTACATAATTTAACCTTTTTACATGATTAATCATTTTTACATATTTAATTAATTTTACATTATTAATAATCTTTACATAATTAATCTTTTTTACATGATTAATAATTTTTACAAAATGAACAGTATTTTGTCAAAGCGCGTTTTAAACTTAAACGAAAAACAAGCACATTGCAATTTAAACGAGTTTGTTAGGTAAAACCAAATGCCATGCACCACTTTAAAGTCGTGGCAGTCTAAAAATGTGATGAATAACTTTCAGACTTTTTATGGTTGTTAACACGATTCTTATTCCTACTAAGTAAGCGTTACAGTTTCTTGATATCATGTTTACTAAGTGATATTGTATCTTTATACATATACTCGTACATAAAGTAAAATCTTGGTTTGTATTTCTGCTCATAACTTATGAACTCCTTGACCGATTTGATTTAAATTTCGATAGGGGGCAAACTCGATTGCACCAAGTTAATGCTCTTCCTTTGGTCTAGATTTTTTTCGGCCTCCAGACAAAGCTGGGTTCCCGAGCTAGTATTGTATAAATTAATAAAAAATTAAAATATAAAATTATATTTTGATATTCTCTACAGCTACTTAAAAAAAGGTTAATATCAGGTGAATAATCTTTAACTGTAGAAGTGTAAATCAATAGTTATTGGATTTTAAATATTCTCGGTTCAGANACCTGTAGGTATTTCTTTATATTTATCATTTTTATATAGTTTTATTAAAACACTGAAATAATGCAATTTACCGGGTTGGTGGGATTGTCCAAGTCACAATGTTCCTAAGGTTGCAAGTCCTTCTGCAAAAAGAGATGAGAATTTTGCCATTTACTCATGTAAAACCAAAGCTATAAACAAGTGCTTAATAGTCTAAGGCTTAAAAATTATATAAAAGTCTAGGGCTTAAAAAATATATAAAAGTCTAGGGCTTAAAAAATATAAAAGAGTTATTCATGGTAAAATCAACTGCCAAGACGTTGCGATACTTCAAAGTCGATCCTGCAGTCTTGAAAACCTTTTCTTAGCAGTTTGGATCGTTGACTCAAAACTATTTTATTTTAGACTGGACTCGGAGTTGGGTACAATGAAGGAACACTGTATAGAGCTCCCGCCACAGTTTCCTACAGATCCAAGAACAATGGAAAATTCAAGTAACCTTTAAAAACATTCAACCTTTTATATTCTATCAAAAATTTACCCTCCCCCCCCACTACCTCTTCTAAAATGGACTTTTTACTAAGAACATTTAGAAACCATAGCTTGGAAAAGATGTAAAAAATATGACTTTTGACTTTTACTTCATCAACATGACTTTAATCACTTATTTTTTTCACTCTTTTTCCCTGACTACTTTGTTATCCCGGCTGTATATTATCCAGTTAAATACTCCATTTGTGATAAACTGAATTTCAAATGCTTCTAATATTTTTAACATGTTGATGAATATCAAATGACCTGGATAATTGTTGATAACGACGATTTGAAATCGGAATTGGTTTCATTAAAAGGTCTGCAGCCCTTAAAAGTTGCATAAAAGAACTTAAAATGGATAGAAAGGATCAATGTAGGATTAATTTTTATGATTTTACTTATCAGGCCCTCTTATCAGCTTGATGATTGGAAATCAGAATCATCAGGTTCATCTTCATATTTCCCCCCTTCTAGCACATCTTCAACTTCATATACATCTCCTGATAGTACTTCTTTATCTCCTCCAACTACTCCATCTACAACACCATCTACTTCTATCACGTTTCCAATAGTTCCCAAGGGACCTGTTGACACAGGTTCTAATTCTTCCGAAGCAACCAAGCCAAGTGATAAAAACAAACCAATCCGATCTAATGATTCTGCTACAAATAGTTTTGATGAAGAATCTGAATTTGTAACCACAACATTGCCGCCAGAAATATATTCTAGATCACCTTCCATAGATAGTTCATATGGAGCACCAATTTTATCAATCTCAGGCTCCTATGATCCTCCAACAAACTCATACGGACCTCCATCTGATTCCTATGGGCCTCCAACAAACCCCCAAGGTCCTTTGTATGTGCCCTCAAAACCCACTTATGGGCCTCCAACCGAATCTTATGAACCTCCAACAGGATCTTACGGACCTCCAACTGGATCTTATGGACCTCCAACTGGATCTTATGGACCTCCAAACGACTCTTATGGACCTCCAAAAGAATCTTATGGACCTCCAACCGGATCTTCTGGATCTCAAAACGATATTAATGGACCTGATCTAAAACCTGTAAACTATTATGAAGGTCCTGATTCTACTGACGAAGGAAAACTGTTTACTACATAATATGCAAAATAAAATGGTGACAATCATGACTTTTGAAATTTAAAGAAAGTAATGAAAATTCAATCTCATAAAAAGCCAATATTTTAGCTTGCTTCGAACCAAAAAGAAAATGAATTTGTTTTTACTATTTTTGTTTAAAGTAATGTATCAGTTTGAGGTTTAGGAAATGGTGGATTTAACTTGTTTGGAGCAATCGCCAGGAAACTTTGGCACACTGGATAATCAAGAACAATTAGTTATATTTCTAAAATACATAATTTCATTTTCAAATCCTGTCCGGTCAAGCTGTCCTGTTTTTACTAATTTACTGGACATTTTCTCCTTAAAGTGTCAAAGTTTTGGTTTAGTAAACTGGATCTCATTAGAACTTTGTTTCTCAGAAAACTAGATTTTTTTACAGGATTTTTTCATTTTAGACAGGTAATATATACAGGTAATAGGTACAGGTAATATGTACAGGTAATATGTACAGGTAATATGTACAGGTTATATGTACAGGTAATATGTACAGGTAATATGTACAGGTAATATGTACAGGTAATATGTACAGGGTTATTCACAAAGGATGAGGCTTCAGAGAAGATTAGATATTTGATTCATTTTAGCACTAAATTCTTGTCATGAAGCTGACATTCCTTTTTTATTCAAGACTTTAGCTGAGTATACCCAATTCAAGCTTTAAGGTATTAATATTCAAAGAGTTTTAGGTGATCATTTAATTCTCATCCTTTGTGGGAAACACTGTATTATGCATATCTAGATATCAAGATCAGAAACGTGAGTTGAAGCCTCGTTTAATCAAAAAATACTTCTCAATATGATCCCAAAAATCATCTATTTCTATCGTGAGCTTTTGTATTACATTTGAAATGAGTTAGCGCCATGTCTGCAAAATAATGAAAGTTTATAGCATGGCTTGTCCGATACACAACCAGTAATCTTTTAACCGTTTATATTTCACAAATATTAAAATCTACCTTCTTAAAATTTGCAGAACATTAATATTTTTATTTGAATTTTTGGAAAAGACATTTGCCATTGAATATTTGGTATTTTCAAGAAATGTTTGGTGGGTTTAAGAGATAAACGCAATGAGTTCTCTATCGTCGATGATCGTTTACATAATAGTACCGTTGTAAAAGTGGAATATATATCTAGATAATAAAGCACTTTGCTCATATATTTATATATATTTACATGTCAGCTATGGCTGGCCAAACGACTAAATCAAATGAACTGAAATTTGTTTATGAAACAAATGGGTATCGTGGGAGTGTCATAGACTAAAAAAATTCGAAACTTTTTTCTTCAAAAATCGAATATTTTTAAAGTTTTTAAAATTCCAAGGGCACCGCCGGTCAATTCAGCTAGTATATTTTATAACTGTTTTATGTTTATCAAAGGATCCTAATCTACCGGTTGAATATGAGATCAATGATGAGTATGGTGCCCCCTCTCTACCCAATGATGAGTATGGTGCCCCCTCTCTACCCAACTGTTCAGGTGATCCTTTTTCTCAACACATGACATAAATCTTCCAAAATTTTATTCTCAAACAGTAAAGAACTGCATTCTGCTATTCTTTTTAAACATTACAAAGGTTAGAAGAAAAACTACCTCAATCTTATCAGAACTATATAATAGACACTAATTCCCATACATTAAGTTAAAATAACAGATGTCGTCTTTTCAAGATTTAGGGGGTTTTCGTTCACAATAACCCTGAGGCAGAGACCCAAAGGAGTTGCGCACATGCTCTCTCTTTATCTTTTAACACAACGCTGCCTGCGCGGAACGTCTTTGGGCTTTTGTCTCAGTGTTATTGTGAACGAAAAACCCTTAAACTTTGAAAATACGACATATAATGTTTATCTGTTATTGTTAATTAATCTATGCTAATTCCTAACGGAAGTTGAAAAAACGAAACTGAATTGCGTTAATACTACCGGTTACTTGAGGAGTAGATCTGATTAATGCGTTAATTTAAATAAACGTTCATCAACGGATAAATAAACGTTCATCAACGGTTGGCGTTGATATCAATGCAATGAAGACGATTTTTTATTTAAGCTTTGATTTCTAACAAGCCTGTTAAAATAACAAGTTTACAAGTAAACAAAGAGAAGCTGTAAAGTTGACAGTTTCTATTTGTTTTTAAGTTTATGTGTATCCACGCTGTTTGAAAGCTTAATAAAAGTTAAAATTGATATCAAAAGACGTCTTCATCGTGTTGATAAATACATCGTATTTTTTAGAATTTTTTATGTTTTTTAATTTTTCAGATGCTGGAGAGGAACATGGAGGTGGATACTCAGGATATGGAGATTGGTTGGAAACAACACCGCCGAGTTACTCATCTACCAAACCTAGTTACTCACCTAAAAAACCTAGTTACTCATCCTCGAAACCTAGTTACTCACCTAAGAAGCCAAGTTACTCAAACAGGAAACCAAGTTACTCAACCAGGCGACCGAGTAAACGTCCAAAAAATAACACAAATCGACCGGTTAGTTCCTCTAAAAGACCCATAACGACCCATAGTGGAGGTTCTAGAAGACCTGCAGGCTATAAACCAAGTTATAAACCAAGTTATGAACCAAGGTATACAGATCATTTTCTTGCTAACTTAAATTTTTTTAATGAATATTTAATTCAGTAAGATATAAGCTAGATCAGATTTTTTTTCTCTAATTTTCTAATCCTTCAAACTTGATGATGTAGATATTTCAAACGTATATGCTGCTAGTTCAAATATCTAATGTATAAATATTAAAGGTTTACACCATTAAGTTGCAAGGATAAAGTGTAAGGTGAGTGCTCAGCTCTTTAATCTTACATAAGTTCTTCAGACTGCAGAACAGTTTCTCCTTCTAACTTTTTTATACTTCCTGGCCTAGTTATCCTCTGCTAGTCACTTCCTTTTAGATTTATTCTTTCTGTTCTATCCATATCTCTTGTATATTTAGTTCTCTCTACTACCCACCCCGACCTAGCTCAGATTCTAGAGAACCTGGATACGAGAAACCTAGTTTAGGAAAACCGATCTTAATTTAAAGCATTGAGGGTGAAAAGCAAACAAAATTTGGGCAGTGTTTTTTTGCAACAGATTTACCATTTCGGCAAAAATATATATTTTTATATTCTGTGTTTAGTATATTTTTATTTGGACCGTTTTCTGTAAAATTGACTAAATTAATGCATCATGACTGTGCAGTTTGTTATGATCACTAATTGTCTCAGGGGAGACGGTATAGGAGCAGATGGAATAGTAATGAGATGACATTTAAGTTCAAAATTATATCTTATCTAATTCATGGTTAATTGAGCAAAGTAAACCCATATTAAGTTTTATGAGTTCAAATTGTTATGTTGTAGAGAGGTTTTGCTACACCTATTAAAGTGACTGTAGACGTATTTTAAGTGACCCTACATTTAAAGAGTCCGAGACAAACCCTATATAAATAACAATAAGAAAAAATATCGGAGTTTTTTATCTCAAAATGTGGTCAATTCGGAAAATTTCCCTCATTAAAGTTAATTTTATAAGAGACATAACAATTTAAAATAATTGTTTTAGCGAGTAAATAACGAAATAACATTCATCTTGATCAAACCAAGGTTCTGTTGTGAATCAGACTAGTAGCTCTATAAACTGAGGTTCCCTTGAAATTACTTAATAAAAAAGATGGGGTTAAGACGGAGAAATTATAGGAGAAGAAACCCCTACACCCAGTCCTATTTACTTCAACCCTAGACGACACCCATCTATCAAACCAAGAACTCCAATCTACTTTCCTCCGAACCCACCAATATCATCAGCGTTCTCAGGTATTCAAGGAAAAGGATTTTAAATTCTGAACTCAGACAACATATTGGCCTAATTTTCTCTCCCTTTACAGTTTTGTACATTTAAAAATCGGATTGCAGAGGATAACTTATAAATCCCTGCTCCATCACCCTTAGGCCTTACAAACTTTAAACTTTCTTAGCGATCAGATATCGGCAATATTGACTTAATCTAAGTCTAAGACAGATCGAATGAAAACATATCTTCTAAGAATAGTTTTGTAAGATAAGATAAGATAAGATAACGTTTATTGCTAAAATAAATGTATCTGTATACAGATAGAGTTTACAATCACAAAATTGATGATTATATTAACAGTACAAGTATAAAGCAATTAGGTGGAAAATAGCTCTTGGCTGTTTTGATTATTTTTTCCACCTAATGTTAGTAATAATAACAAAATATTTCAATTAAATAGATTTAAGGAGAACGATTAGAGATCAGGGTGCGAATTTATCATATGCCAAATAGTTTATACATAAATTCGAATAACTAGAGTTTAAAGTAATTTTCAGACATGTACACAACAAATATCAAAGCATATTAAAACATATCTAATTAGTTTTACATGAATAGCAATTCGGTTTATAACACATTGTCCTATAATTTTCAAAAAGAGAATTTAGTAGTCTATTTTTAAATATACTTAGAGAGTTGCTTCTTTTTAAGTCAAGTCAAGTCAAGTTGCTGAAGAATTTTTTTTGAATTTTTACCTGAAGGGTTTCAGTGGTTTAAAGGTTAAATTAACTTGACGATATTTTTTCTTTCGTTATTAGATTTATTAAATACCGCCTGATGAATAAACCCTTAAACTGCGCGGTTTAAATTTCCATTGACAACGAGTAAAGGCTACAATTTATTAAAATGAATAAATTTCCTCATCAATGGATTGGATATGTATCTGCAATATTTATATACTGCGGTGTTAACCAGTTTGGTACAAACTTTTTAAAACTTTTGCATCAAATGAAAGTTCGGAGAAATAGTTTTATCATACAAGCTCAGCATTTGAGTAAACTCCAAGGTAAGCCTTTATAGATATAGGATCTGAACTTTTAAACTTGATTTTGGTTTAAAGGAATTGAGTCTTTGCCACAAACTCGGATTTTTAAATCCCAATTTCTTAAAAACCAAATGTCGTAGACCGTAGGTATTTCAAACTATGAATTCTAGTGGATCAAACAGTATAAGTTTGAAATATGAAAGGTTTGCATCATCTGGTTGTTGAGATTTAGGTATTACAAAATTCGGATTTGTGGCAAAAACTCAATTTCTTTATTTTTATTAACATATAAGTAGAATTTACATTTCAATCCCCCTCTTTTAGAGAGGTTGAATGATAAATTCCAATTAGAGCAATAAAAAGTTGTGTATTTTCTACCATTATATTAATTGTGGGTCCTTATGCTATAAATGGCGGGGAGGGGCCGGTGTCTTTACACATAATGATTTACCAATATCGTTTTAAGAACCATCGAGTGTGGAAGAGTCTTTTGAAACGCTTTCCCAAACCTTGGAAGAAATTATTGATTCTAAGGTAATATATTATTTTTAACATTTGTCACTTTTCTTTTTTCTTTTCTATTTAGATGAAAATGGCACAGACAACAATGGAGAATAATATGAAAAACTTTTTATCCGGAGAATCAGCTGCACATGTGACGACTGATATGTTCAAGGAATCAGCTGCACCTGTGGCTGATATGTTCAAGGAATCAGCTGCACCTATGTTAGCTTTGCACCAAGAATCAGCTGTTCCTGAACCTGAAGGCAAATTTCAAAGCATGCATCACAGGTTGATAAATTTACTTTAAAACCATTTTTTAACGCATCGTTCATTCTCAACAAAAACTAGAACAAATGTAAATTAAGACATGGTGCAAAGTTCTAACAGATTTAATAAATCAGATCATTCGTATAGTACTTTTCTTCAAACTTTTGGATTTTTTTAAAGGGTGTCTGTTAAGTTTCAGAAATAATAAACATAACATTTGTTTATAGAATTATAAAATCAAATGATATTATTGTTTGTATTGTTTAGTTGGACTCCAATGAGTTTTCTTGCTCGCATGGTATCAACGGAAGGAGCAGATGCTGAGGTAAAATATTTTCATTAAATAGGAATATAGCTGAAATTGCAAACTTGTCATTATTTCAAGGAAGATATTTGGTTGCACGTTGGTAAATAATAATGGTGTTAGGTATTTTCTCAAGGGACAATTTTCCAAATCACAACTTCCCAAATGTGCAATTTTCCAAGCGGCAACTTCCAAAGGTTAGGCTAGGCTCTCTGAGGCGCCGTAGGCAGCAATGAGGGCCAAGCGCTGCGGCTAGGATTGGATAGGGGGCCGATCACTGCGGCTAGGATTGGATAGGGGGCCGAGCGCTCCGGTTAAAACATGCTAGGGGTCGATAGCGGCGGCTAGGACATACGTTGGAAGTTACCACTTGGAAAATAGCAAATTTGGAAAGTTTTCACTTGGGAAAATACTCTTGGGTAGTTGCCTCTTAGGAAAATGCATTTGGGAAAGTAACTAACATCTTTATCATAATTAATGTTTATAGGATAAAAAACATACAGTGAAACCCTTAATAACGAATACATCGAAAGAATTCATCAAATGTCGTATTCTTCACTTTCTAATTATGGAATGTTGCAGATATTTGTTTTTATAATTAAATGATTATATGGAACTCTTTAAAACTGTTCCCGCATATTCATGGCTATTTATTTATTTTCGCAAATACTGAGATTTACGTAAAATAGTATAAACTCATTGAAAAATTGTCAAGACGACATTTGATAAATTCTTCCGATGTATTCGTTATTAAGGGTTTCGCTGTAGAAAAACAAATGTTAAATAATCATGTTGTATTCTCAGAATGAAATAAATGAAGGATTGGAAGATATTGAAGAATATCAGATTTCGGATAAAAACGAGATGGAAAACTACAGCAAGAAAGGTAAACTGGAACCATATTTATAAATCGATCAATCAAATCAATCAAATCAATCAAATCAATCAAATCAATCAAATCAATCAAATCAATCAAATCAATCAAATCAATCAAATCAGTCAAAACAATCAATTATTTATTTGGTTCCTTACAATTACAAAATATGTCGGAACTAAAGAAACAAAAAGGTTTCCAAAGATTTTAATATCGTATCTGATTGTATTGAAAAATAAAGCCAATTACATCTAAACGCGGTGTGTTATAAAAAATTGTGTTTTATAATGTATTTTTAAATAACCATGAACCATCACGACTAGACTCCGGATCAGACACATTTATTAGATATTGTGGAAGACGATGCCTGGCCGCGTTAAACTAGTTCCACAAGATTCAACAGAATGAGATAGAACGGATACGGGGCATTAGTACTGATATCATCTCTACAGTCTACACGTGCGATATCAATATTGACTCTAGTTCTGAACCCTCTAGTAATAAGTTATAAGAAATATATATACTGGAAGTTATTTATGCATTTTATTAGAGTCTGACTCACGTCCTCTATAATATCACAATACTATTTATCAAACTGTGTTTAGATGACATGGGGGACAAAAACAAAATGGAGAAATATAACAACAATGTACGACAAAATATAACTAAGGTTAGTGAACATTCAGTGTCCAAGTTTTTTTTTTTGATTTTAACAAGCACATCAAAAATTTACAGTACTATAATAAATGGTTATATTGACAGAAGAAATAACCCTGAAAGAAATTTAACCCTAAACAGGCTGGAGGTGGAGCCCTCCTCTCATTTTTACAATAGAGCCTTTAAATTTCTATTCATTAAAGGGAGTGACCGGCAATGCATGGTAGTTGAAGTGAAAATGAAGTATTGTGGAGAATTTTTATAGGATTTATTTGAGATATATAAAACTTTTAATGATGTATAATCACGAAAATATTTCTCAATGAAAATTTGTCTATAAATCAATGTTAAAATCAATTATGTCTTTTTCATCATTCCATTGAATTACTTATTTTTATAAATTTGTTCGAAGATTTCTCTAAATTCTTCAAATGTTGTCTTTCCGATAAAAATTCCAGTAAATCTACAGAAAATATTTGCGAACAAGGAGACATTTCAGAAACCAATAACTGAATAAGATTACTTATTTTCGATGATAAGAGTTATACATAAATTCAGACCCCAGCCTTTGCAGGGTTTACAGGAAAGGAAGTTTTTGCCAAAAACTTAAATTTTCTAATCCCTATCCCGTTGCAACCTGATGGTGTAAATCTTTGATATTTCAAACTTGACTATCTGATCTAATCAGAATTCATGGTTTGAAATATCAATGGTCTACGATATATGCATCGGGTGGCAAAGATATAAGAATTATGAAATATTTTTATTCAAAATCCTGAATTAGCCATAGATAAATAAATAAACATAGATAGCTTATGTACCCAAAATCACCAAGAATTGCACAGTCAAAGTGTACTTCAATGATAAGTAGGGTGGTTTGGTGTTTTAATAGAGTGTAAAATAACTCCGGGAATGGAACTTTTTGAACAACAATATTTCACTGAGCAATATATCATAATGACGAGAACTGAAGAAGGACATGAGAAGGACTAAACTAACTTAAATTTCTCTCTACAGAACTCATGTATACAACAAGTACTCAATGACATAAGAACAGCCAATGTTCACAACCGACCTAGTTAATCTATATAATAGGAATATCCTTAAAACATCTCTGTACATTTAAATCTTTATCTATGGAATAAGCCGACAGGATGCCCAACATCAGGATATAGTGTATCTGAAAAATCTGAAATGGTAAATTTGAGAACTTGTCGGAGGTGTCAAGAAAATTTTTCAATAATATGAAGAATATGGTGCGGTTGAGATAAAATTGTTTTAAAAATTACAATAAAATAAACGTTCAAAAGCATTTTCTTGTTTAGTGGTCTGATCTACCGATGAATAAGAAGATGAATATGAGTGAAGAAATATATACAATATTCCTAGAGGTTCTCAAACAAACAGATTCATTAAACACCGACGTCAAGGGTAAGCATCAAAACTTTGTTTTACCAAAAAAACAATTAAGGATTAGAAAATTAGAGTTTGAGGCGAGTGTTTGGTTTGGTTCTATTATATGTATGTTTGGGATATTGGATAAGATTAATATTTTTAATCACTTTTCTTTATATAAACTAGCTTGAGAACCAAGCATTGCTCAGAGTACTCACAATTACTCCAGCCGTTTACCCGCGCTTGGTCGTAAATTACGATTCGACCCACTCAACATTCCCATGGTTCTCCCGAGTTCCCCCATCAAAACTTGAGGCAAATCGGTCAAGGGGTCCGTGACTTATGATCAGATATACAAACAAACAAACACCCAAACAGAGTATACAACTTTATATATATAAAATATATGGATGGGTTAGATATCATGTTCATGCATGGATATTTTCTAGATTATATGGATATGGATGAAATGGATATTTTCTAGATTCTATGGATATGGATGAAATTGATATTTTCTAGATTCTATGGATATGGATGAAATGAATATTTTCTAGAAAGGATGGATATTGATGAAATGGAAATTTTCTAGATTCTATGGATATGGATGAAATGGATATTTTCTAGATTCTATGGATATTGATGAAATGGATATTTTCTAGATTTTATGGATATGGATGAAATGGATATTTTCTAGATTCTATGGATATGGATGAAATGGATATTTTCTAGATTCTATGGATATGAATGAAATGGATATTTTCTAGATTTATGGATATGGATGAAATGGATATTTTCTAAATTCTATGGATATGGATGAAATGAATATTTTCTATATAGGATGGATATGGAAATGGATGAAATGGATATTTTCTAGATTCTATGGATATGGATGAAATGGATATACTAAACATGATTGAAGATATCGACCAAGAATCAGAAAATGCAAGTTTAGAGCTCTTTACGAGGTAAAAATTGATTTATTAAAATATTAAGTTAATGGAATCATTTTCTTTTACAATAAAGTATTTTTTCAGAATGAAGGAGAAAATGCTGCGGCCGAAAAATATTGAAGATATATTAAATATCATAAGGTAAACTGTTCAGTGTTAGAAGGAAAAACAGTTGAAAGAAGTTGGGTTTTCCTTTTATTATAAAATTAGTTTTTTGTAAAAAAAATATGCCCAGATGTTTGTGACGTGAATCTCGGATCAAACATTGGTCTCCATCAATATGCGAACCTACAGATTGATTTATTTCCTTTTCAATGTTTCATGGTGGTCATTCCTTGCAGGGATAACTTAAATCAAGGGAGCAGGCATTGATCTTTAAATTTAAAAGTGCCCAATTTGGATATCAAGATCAAGCGTTTAAGGTTAAGGATACTCCACACAAAAGTTTGTATTTATATTGTATAGATCTATATATAAACTAGCCTTAGAGGGCGCTTCGCGCCCATCTTCTAAATTAATTGTGAACATGTTCTCTTTGTGTACATCGTAAAACAAAACTAAAATAATTCGCGGATTTTCACAAAAAATTTCGTGGATTTTCAAAATTTTAAAAAATTTAATGACGATCAAATTTTGATTGAGACAAATATTTAAAACTTCAATCATTCATAAACCTTCCCTGGGGTCCCTAGATGTCCCACAAATTGGATACAAACAGACAGACACCCAAACAGACAAGCCAAATTTATATATAGATGTGGCTTGTCTGTATTGGTGGGCGTCTGTTTGTTTGTATCCAATAAACGTCAAAACGGCTGAACCGATCGGGCCCAAATTTTGTATGGGACATCACGTGACCACAGGGAAAGTTTATATATGATAACAAATTTTAAAAAATGTGTTTCAAAGGTTTTTAATTTTGTAAAAAAATTGAAATTCTTGAAAATCCGCGAATTTTTTTTTTTAAAAATCCGCAAAAAGCCTAGTATTTTAAAAATGGTTTATTTAGAAATACAACTGAGAACGAGGTAAATACATTTGATGATTCTACGGACATGTTTGCTGATGTTCCTAAAGATTCTACGGACATGTTTGCTGATGATCCTAAAGATTCTACAGACATGTTTGCTGATGATCCTAAAGATTCTACGGACATGTTTGCTGATGATCCTAAAGATTCTACGGACATGTTTGCTGATGATCCTAAAGATTCTACGGACATGTTTGTTGAAGATCCTAAAGATTCTACGGACATGTTTGCTGATGATCCTAAAGATTCTACGGACATGTTTGCTGATGTTCCTAAAGATTCTACGGACATGTTTGCTGATGATCCTAAAGATTCTACGGACATGTTTGCTGATGATCCTAAAGATTCTACAGATATGTTTGATGACGAAATTGAAGATTCTACGGATATCTTTGATGAAGAACTTGAAGAACAGCTTTTCCAAGGTTTAAAAACTTTAAAGTGTAAAGAAATTTCATGTGGCCCTCCATTGAACTTAAGAATACTTTATTTAGTTTCCAGGAGTTACAGAAAAACCGGGACAATTTATCTTCTCTCATTTCTAGAAATATATATATTCAAAAAAAATGATTTCTCCGCTGTCTGGATCAAGGGTACCGTTTTGAATCAGACCTGCCACACTACTTTTTTTTAATGAAGGGTCACATCCGCAATTTATAACTTTATTAAAGGAGGATCCAATTTGACACTTCTTGTCTCGAACAGAGTGAAAGACTTATGATTGGGATCCTGCTTCAAATAGTTTAAAATAGTTTCTGGGCCAGACTTTTTTTCGCTATTAATTAAATTTGGTGCCAGGGCTCATCAACCCTCATTGCATCTGTTTATAATTAGATCATTATACTTGTTATATCATTTAACATTGATTATTTCTAGAATATGAGGTTTCTGGATTAGAAAATATCGGAACAAGCCCGCCTCCATTTTTACAGGAGACGCATTTATATTCAGAAAAACCTGAGTCCAGCTTAAGCATTGGGTTAGAGAAATCTAATATAAGCTTAAGTCCAGTTTTAGCTGATTCTGAGACCAAGTTGAACCCAGTTTTGGTTGAGTCCAACACACGGTTGATTCCTAGTTCAGATGACGTGCCTACCGCGATAAACTCGGTAATAACTTTTTATGTTCGTCTAAAATATATTTTTGGAATTTAAAAATTGTATTAACATTGTCAGCATTATTCAAGGGCCGTACGTCGTTAACAAAGAACAATCTGGTTTAATCGTTGTTTATAGATAAAAATCAAAGAACGCATAAAAACCTCCCGGGTTGCTCAAGAGTTTGTGACGATCAATGAATTCAAGAACGCGGATAGACGGGGTTGGAGAGACGGGGTTGGATAGACGGGGTTGGATAGACGGGGTTGGATAGACGGGTTGGATAGACGGGGTTGGAGAGACGGGGTTGGATAGACGAGGTTAGATAGACGGGTTGGATAGACGGGGTTGGATAGACGGGGTTGGAGAGACGGGGTTGGATAGACGGGGTTGGATAGACGGGGTTGGATAGA